CACTCATCTTCCAGACTACATAAGACAGTAAACGCCCAGGCTGAGATCTTCCTCCACCTCTCCGGAGGAGCCGGAGTCTCTTAAAGAAGTATCCACACACCACGACCAAGGGGGGGTCCCCGTACATATGGAATATGTAAGAGAGTGGAGAGTCTCTCACTCAGAGAACTATGGTTACAATGTAACCGTATGATTCCTGTGTCTCCCTGATTCTGGTTCTGGCTGAGGTGTCATCCTGTTAAACGAGAGTTTTTCCTTCCCACTGTTACCAAAGTGTTTGGTTATAGGAGGTGTCAGAATGTTGGGGTTTTCTCTGTTTTCTTTATATTAATGTAGCGTGGGGTTAGGGTTAGATTTGGAGCTATATAAATAGAACTGAATTCCTTTGAATTGGACTGAATGATCCCACACTGCTTCAATAATGTTTATCTATGGGGCTGCCAATCTGGGACTTTTCTACCATTGTATTCTTTTACTGTGTCATGTCATAATTATATAGTCTGACAAAATCACTAACATCACTCACTGAAAAGAAGCCCCAAAGTATGACAGTTTCCACTGTGTTTTACAAATGAGTGTAGACACTCACTTTTATACCTCTCTCCTGATCTTGATGACAATTTGAACAAAAATTTCTCATTTGTATTCATCATTCCATAAAACCTGTTGTTATTTTTTTTTTTAAATGAATCATAGTTTGTTGTAAAATAGCTTAGAAAACAAACAAACAGAAAACAGTCCTTTTCAGGTACAGGGACTACACTGACAATGATTTAAAAAGCAACCAATTTCCAAAGCAAAACTTGGGAAGAACTACATCAAGCCTGGAGAGCACTTTAAAAAATTGCAGCACGTGAAAGGCCTGTACTATGCAAAATATAAAAAGAAATGACAGGTGGCAGAAGACTTTTCTACAGTATCAAAATTGAAAGAAATTTATAGGATCATTTAAAATATTAGGTTGTAGCCTAACTGAAAAAAACTGTAGGTCATGCTCGTAAATCAAATAGATGCCTGAACAACTAACAACCCAGCACACAATAAATGAGAAATTAAGTTCTGCCAGTGAGAAACGTTACCTTTACATCTGGTTTAGCCCAAGGGGAAGTTTGTGTATAAGAATGTAGTGCTTCCCCTGAGCAGAGAGAGTATGTAATCGGTTCAGTTAATGTGTCTGTCTGTTTGTTGCAGTATATCATCCACAGTTTTCTAGATATCATTTTCATATTTGTCTGATAGTAGACACCAATAACAACTCAAGTTGATTTCATTTAGGTGAAAGTTGGGTCAAAATTAAGGTCAAGGTCACACCAAATTCAGTACAAACTTAAACTACAGAAATTACTTAAAAAAATCAGATGGTTTTCAATTAATTTTCTTCAAACCAATATACCGGTAGGTATTAGTCCTTTTGGGCCACACGTACCTAAAGTGACTGAGCATTTGACTGTCACCTTCATTTTTTTGTGCCCAAGGTCAAAGTTGATGGGGCAGTATCTCTAAATTAAAAGACCAGGGCCCGTATCCCTAAAGATTCTGAGAATCCTCTCAGAGAGCTCCTAACTTAACCTAAAAATTCCTTGCCAGGAGTTTTAGCTTAGAAGTGATTCCAGAACATTTTCAGTGAACTCTGAGCAAGGAATGGATGGAAAATCCTATCTTAGTGAGGAGGTGTGGTTGACCC